AGATAAATTGAAGTACCCAGCAGTACTTCTTTCATCCACAATAGCTGAACAAACTTTGTCACTCATTAGACCAATGAGTTCATCACATATTGTCTTGGATAAGTATGATGGGTTACCTTTGCCAGCATTCCCATATTTTGAGATATGGCCAGCTAAAAATGGGTCAAACTGAACCACAAGCTCCAACAATCCCAAGAAATTTCCATTCTGCAATGATCCAAATGTGTCATTTGATCCCTGGAAAGGCAGACCACATCAGCTAATGTTTGAATAACAGCTATAACACGCTGCAAGACATGTTGCCAGTATTCACGCTCCCCTTTAATTTGTTCTTCCAATTTTTGTGTCAATCCAAAGCCCTGTCTTCAATTTAAATATGTCAACATTGAATCTCTGTGATTAGTGCTATTTTCATGTTGTTCAATTAAAACAGTATTCCGACAGTCACTAAATCCATCTGCAGCAAACCGGGATGTTCAAGGTTTATCTGCAAAAAGTTTGCAAACAAAACAGTACACAGACCCTGTTGATGGTGAACACAGTAGCCATTCTCGAGTGTATTTCTCACCATTCGCTTTCATGCCAAAAAATATTTTTTGTGAACAATATCTTGTTTGTTTGCCATTGGTAAAAGTCCAATGTGATTTCTCAAATGGCCCAGTGTGGTGTTGACAGTAATTTGTCCACAATCTATCCAGTAAGCTACATCATCGGTACTGAAATCAACCCACATACCAGGATCTTTTCTCCTACTATTTACAGCATGAGCAGGTTCAGTCTCTGACACATCCACACCTTCTACAACGTCTGTTTTACCACCAGGTGTAGGATGATCAGTTACAGTCTCTGACACAGCCACATGTTCTGGAATGGTGTTTGTTTCACCAACAGAAGAAGGGTCAGTCTCTGAAACACCTCCAGGTTTTGGAACGATGTCTGTGCTACTGAGAAAAGATGTTGTTTCTGATGGATTCGCTTTGAAAAATTATGTCAGCTTTGGAAGATTTTGGAAAATTTCACTAGTTTTTTGGTTTTTTTCTTCCACCAGTTTACGTTTCTGTGCTCCGCTCAGTTGGCTATGTTTCATCCTGCCCCTTATCTCAATTATCTGAACTTAAAAAAAAAACAAATTACACAATGAACACTATTTTTATGTATATATATAAAATATATATATAAGAAAGGAAAAAATAAATCAAGTACGTATAACCCAGAAGAATATATCAATAATAAAACATAAATTTATTGCAATACATGACAGGATTTGATTCCCTCGCATTATTTCGATCTACGTTAGTAGGACGCCCCCCTGGTTTAGGTGGGGATAAGTAATAAAAAGAGAACAGAAAAACAGGGGAAGAGTATGGAGCGGAGTGCAAGGAAGTCCAAAAAAGTTCTGATTTTTCCCATGATGACTATTTGGATGCTTTTTTTGAAATATCAAATATCAAATTTAAAAAAAAAAAATCTCACGTGCTTAGTCTGCCTAGTGGGTAATCCAGCCCTGAAGCGGGGGATGCGAGTGTAGGTAAGCATACATTTTACTTTGATACTTCATGGTGAGAGGAGATTGAGCTCTCATGTACTTTGTTATATGGTAGAGGAGGGATAAGGGAATGAAATTAACAACAGAGTTTATGCAGCTACGCAGTGGGAGCCTGGCAGAAAAGTTTGTTAATGTACACTGGGATAGCCTGGGAATCCTCCAAAGAGATCTCTAGGAAATTTTCCTGCAGATATTCTGCAATCCTCTGCCAAAGGTTCCTTAGCAGAGTTAGCTTGTTTCTGTCCCCACTGCAGGAAATTTTGCTGCACCCAACAGGCAATTATTTCTGCGGGGACCAAAGCCGCACATAGGCGAGCAGTATACAGAGACAGTCTGAAGACACACACATGCAAGAGATGCACCCTTGTAACCCTGGGTTACCTTCAGTAGTGAGATATCAGGTTTGATCACCCCACCTATGGAAAAGGGTACCAATATTCAGAATATTTCCACTAGGAGCTTGTAGGAACCCCCTTCTCAGACCACCCAGACCCTTTGTTCCTTCTTGCCCATTGCCCCCTTTCCACCCCCCACCCAACCAAACTCACTATATTTCGGACTCACGCCAAGCTGTATGCTAGCCAAGGGATAGTGACAAAGATGTGTGTGTAACTTTTGTGATTCACGGCTGTGAGCGCACTCACAACACTGTGTCAGTTCATTGTTTCTTTGGCTTCTGAAGATGCCCTTGAGGACCCCACTTCTCCACAGCGGTAGAGTACATCCATCAGATAAGATGGCAAACCAGGAAGAGTAAGGAGGATATGTTTTGTGAAGTGCTGCAGTCAACAGCTACAGCAGATAGTGAAACAATAGCACTGAGGGAGACAATTAATGAAAATATCAGGCTGGATAGCCTGGAAAGGAGAGAGGGGCAAGAGTGGATGATTAAGCTACTGGAGGACCAGACACAGATGCTCAAGTTCCTCATTATGCTGCAGTCAGAGCACAGCCATGCACGAGTCCCCCTGTAGTTCAGTACCCCACTGAACTCCATTCCATGCTCTCCCCAAAGTCCCGCACCACATTTCGTGCATGTTCCCGGTACCTCTCAGTAGCCTTGCACTCAACCTATAGGGACTGGTTTCATAAAGCTGGAATTACACTCAGCTATGAGAGCCATAACCAAGAGACTATTCCTCATTTCCATGTTCCCTATTTGATGAATATTTTGTTTTTGTCCTGTTATTAAACTTTATTCTTTGATACAAATTTACTCTTTATTCGTATCATATGCACATTAATTGGGGTGCTAACATTCAAACACAGTGGCTATTGGAAGGAATATTTGCTCACTACAATTAACGCTCAGGTTAATCAAACATTATAGGGGTCACACAGGGCGGCAAGTAAACATTGCCTGGCTGAATACCTCACATAAAGACACGTTGCTAGGAATCATTGTCAAAATGCTCCTTCAAAGCCTCCCTAATTTGAATAGCATCCTGTTGTGCCCCTCTAATTGTCCTGGTATCTGGCTGCTCAAAATCAGCGGCCAGCCAATCAATCCCAGCACTCCACCCTTGGAAAAACTTTCCCCCCTTCACTTCACAAATATTATGCCTTGTACAGCAGGCTGCAATGACTGTGGAAATATTTTCCTTGTTGAGGTCTAACCTGCCAAAAAGGCAGTGCCACCAACCTTTTAATATGCCAAAGATATATTCAGTGGTCATTTAGCACCTGCTGAGCCTGTAGCTGAAGTGCTCCTTGCTGCTGTCCAGGTTCCCGGTGTAAGGCTTCATGAGCCATGCGAGCAAGGGGTAGGCAGGGTCTCCCAGGATCACTATGGGCATTTTCACATACCCCATCAGAATCTTCTGGTCTGGAAAGAAAGTCCCAGCATGCAGTTTTCTATACAGTCCAGTGTTCCTAAAGATGCATGCATCTGCACCTTCCCTGACCACCCTACAGTGATGTCAGTGAAATGGCCCTGGTGATCCACTAGCGCCTGCAAGACCATGGAGAAGTAGCCCTTTTGGTTGATGTACTCTGTCTCAAGATGGTCTGGGGCCAAAATTGGGATCTGTGTTCCATCTATCGCTGCAGTTAGGGAATCCCATTGCCTTGAAGCCATCAAATATTTCCTGCACATTACCAAGAGTCACAGTCCTTTGTAGCAGGAGGTGATTAATCGCCCTGCAGACTTGCATCATCACAAACCACACAGTGGATTTTCCAACGCCAAACTGATTTGCAACTGACTGGTAGCAGTCTAGAGTTGCTAGCTTCCACATAGCGATTGCCACTAGCTTTTCAGCAGTGAGGGCAGCTCTCACTCTGGTGCCCTTGTGCTACAGTGCTGGGATGAGCTCCGCACACAGGTCCAGGAGGGTGGATTTGCACATCCGGAAGTTCTACAGCCACTCTGGTCATCCCACACGCGCATCACAGTGAGATTCCACCACTCGGTGCTTGTTTCCTGAGCCCAGAACCAATGATCCGCCATGTGCAGCTGCTCCATGAATGCCAGCAGCAGTCTTGAATTATTTCTTTCCATGGCACACAGCAGGGCAGGCACCACTGATTCACTTTCTGTTTCGCAGCTCATGAAATACTGCAGAACCAGCCGCGTTGTGGTCATAACGCTCAGCAGTTCAGGATCCATGATTTCAGACAGAGATGGTGGGCACATAGTTTACAAGGACTGTTAAAAATGGCATGAAACGAAGTCAGAAGCCCATGGAATGATGGAACAGAAATAACTGCATCATGGGATGGTGAGCACACTCCCATGATGCATCACAATCCATTCCCAGATCTTCCAGGAGCAGAGGGTGGCAAGTTGCACAGTGGGATAGCTTCCCATGATAAAACTCTCTCACTGTCGATGCAAGAGCACAGACTGTGGATGTGATCTGCCAATGCAAGGAGCACTGTGTGGATGTGCACAACCAATGTAATTAAAGCAGCTTATGATCGATGTAAGTCGACTAAACTCTGTAGTGTAAAAATAGCCTTAGTCTCAGTGGTGACCTAAAAGCCTTGGCGTAATCTCTTTATGAGTATAGACATTACAATTTTTTTCAAATTAAAACATTAAAATGGCCTTTTTCCAAAGAAAACATATTTTGCAAAAAACTATTCACTTATTCAAATGTTTTAATTTTTCACAGACATTTTCATGACTTCTTTATCCATTGTTTTTATTTAAAAAATTATCAAAACCATTATCAAAATGGTTATCAGATGTTTTTGTTTCCTGAAAACAAGTGTCAAGAATCATTTCCATAATGTTTTTGACCAAAAAATATTTTAAAATGCAATAAAAATTTTGAAAACCTGAAAATAGATCTATTGGAAACCCTGCACAATGGAAACTTCTTCAAAATTTCAATTTTTTTCTTAGTTTTTATTTTTCCTTTTTTGACAAGCTTTATGAGGACTCATTGCATTAAAATAAATAAAAGCCTCCTTGGGTTAAATGTATTATTAGAATTTCTAGTCTACTTACTCCTCATCCTGAAGATGCTCTTCCTCCTCTTGTATCTGGAGATGATTTTTTACAGGAGCAAGGTTCTCGGTTTTGGCATTGTAATTCCGAAAGCAGACATTCAGCTTCTCGTCAAATTCATTCACCAAGTCTTCCATGGACTTGAAGCTGATAATTTCAGAGGAGAAGTTCTCAAGCTCAGAAAGGGAGGGATCTTCCAGATGCTGAGGGGATGAGCTATAAAAACAATGCGGTTTTTCTTCTCTCTCATCAGCATAGCAGGGTCTCAGATCCTCAAACTCCTCATCCAGACTCACCAGTGGAGCTTCCATCTTGAACTGGCTAAAGTGAAATAGACTTCTTCAAGTCAGATTATCTAGAACAAAAAGTACATCCATGAATCAGTAACAAGGTTTTGTAACCTGTATGCACACACTTTCTGTTTCTGCAGGCTTCAGTGCATTACTGTGGGAAGAGTAGTCCTGTCTATATTGATGATAATATCAGAAATTTCATTACAACCTGCAAAGATTTCAGAGTAACAGCCGTGTTAGTCTGTATTCGCAAAAAGAAAAAGAGTTCTTCTGGCACCTTAGAGACTAACCAATTTATTTGAGCATAAGCTTTCATGAGCTACAGCTCACTTCATCGGATGCATACTGTGGAAAGTGTAGAAGATCTTTTTATATACACACAAAGCATGAAAAAATACCTCCTCCCACCCCACTCTCCTGCTGGTAATAGCTTATCTAAAGTGACCACTCTCCTTACAATGTGTATGATAATCAAGGTGGGCCATTTCCAGCACAAATCCAGGGTTTAACAAGAACGTCGGGGGGGGGGGGTGGTTAGGAAAAAACAAGGGGAAATAGGTTACCTTAGAATCATAGAATCATAGAATATAAGGGTTGGAAGGGACCCCAGAAGGTCATCTAGTCCAACCCCCTGCTCGAAGCAGGACCAATTCCCAGTTAAATCATCCCAGCCAGGGCTTTGTCAAGCCTGACCTTAAAAACCTCTAAGGAAGGAGATTCTACCACCTCCCTAGGTAACGCATTCCAGTGTTTCACCACCCTCTTAGTGAAAAAGTTTTTCCTAATATCCAATCTAAACCTCCCCCACTGCAGCTTGAGACCATTACTCCTCGTTCTGTCATCTGATACCATTGAGAACAGTCTAGAGCATTCCTCTTTGGAACCCCCTTTCAGGTAGTTGAAAGCAGCTATCAAATCCCCCCTCATTCTTCTCTTCTGCAGGCTAAACAATCCCAGCTCCCTCAGCCTCTCCTCATAACTCATGTGTTCCAGACCCCTAATCATTTTTGTTGCCCTTCGCTGGACTCTCTCCAATTTATCCACATCCTTCTTGAAGTGTGGGGCCCAAAACTGGACACAGTACTCCAGATGAGGCCTCACCAATGTCGAATAGAGGGGAACGATCACGTCCCTCGATCTGCTCGCTATGCCCCTACTTATACATCCCAAAATGCCATTGGCCTTCTTGGCAACAAGGGCACACTGCTGACTCATATCCAGCTTCTCGTCCACTGTCACCCCTAGGTCCTTTTCCGCAGAACTGCTGCCTAGCCATTCGGTCCCTAGTCTGTAGCTGTGCATTGGGTTCTTCCGTCCTAAGTGCAGGACCCTGCACTTATCCTTATTGAACCTCACCAGATTTCTTTTGGCCCAATCCTCCAATTTGTCTAGGTCCTTTTGTATCCTATCCCTCCCCTCCAGCGTATCTACCACTCCTCCCAGTTTAGTATCATCCGCAAATTTGCTGAGAGTGCAATCCACACCATCCTCCAGATCATTTATGAAGATATTGAACAAAACCTTGCATAATGACTTAGCCATTCCCAGTCTCTATTCAAGCCTAAGTTAATTGTATCCAATTTGCAAATGAATTCCAATTCAACAGTTTCTCGCTGGAGTCTGGATTTGAAGTTTTTTTGTTTTGTAATATAGCAACTCTCATGTCTGTAATCGTGTGACGAGAGAGATTGAAGTGTTCTCCGACTGGTTTATGAATGTTATAATTCTTGACATCTGATTTGTGTCCATTTATTCTTTTACGTAGAGACTGTCCAGTTTGACCAATGTACATGGCAGAGGGGCATTGCTGGCACATGATGGCATATATCACATTGGTGGATGTGCAGGTGAACAAGCCTCTGATAGTGTGGCTGATGTTATTAGGCCCTGTGATGGCGTCCCCTGAATAGATATGTGGGCACAGTTGGCAACCAGCTTTGTTGCAAGAATAGGTTCCTGGGTTAGTGGTTCTGTTGTGTGGTGTGTGGTTGCTGGTGAGTATTTGCTTCAGGTTGGGAGGCTGTCTGTAGGCAAGGACTGGCCTGTCTCCCAAGATTTGTGAGAGTGTTGGGTTATCCTTCAGGATAGGTTGTAGATCCTTAATGCGTAGGAGGGGTTTTAGTTGGGGGCTGAAGGTGACGGCTAGTGGCGTTCTGTTATTTTCTTTGTTAGGCCCGTCCTGTAGTAGGTGACTTCTGGGAACTCTTCTGGCTCTATCAATCTGTTTCTTCACTTCCGCAGCTGGGTATTGTAGTTGTAAGAATGCTTGATAGAGATCTTGTAGGTGTTTGTCTCTGTCTGAGGGGTTGGAGCAAATGCGGTTGTATCTCAGAGCTTGGCTGTAGACGATGGATCGTGTGGAAATTGTTGAAATCATGGCGTTAGGGCGTCCACATGGCCCGCATGGCCCCACAGTATGCCAACATTTTTATGGCTGACTTAGAACAACGCTTCCTCAGCTCTTGTCCCCTAACGCCCCTACTCTACTTGAGCTATATTGATGACATCTTCATCATCTGGACCCATGGAAAAGAAGCCCTTGAGGAATTCCACCATGATTTCAACAATTTCCATCCCACCATCAACCTCAGCCTGGTCCAGTCCACACAAGAGATCCACTTACTGGACACTACAGTGCTAATAAACGATGGTCACATAAACACCACCCTATACCGGAAACCTACTGACGGCTGTTCCTACCTACATGCCTCCAGCTTTCACCCTGACCACACCACATGATCCATCGTCTACAGCCAAGCTCTGCGATACAACCACATTTGCTCCAACCCCTCAGACAGAGACAAACACCTACAAGATCTCTATCAAGCATTCTTACAACTACAATACCCAGCTGCGGAAGTGAAGAAACAGATTGATAGAGCCAGAAGAGTTCCCAGAAGTCACCTACTACAGGACAGACCTAACAAAGAAAATAACAGAACGCCACTAGCCGTCACCTTCAGCCCCCAACTAAAACCCCTCCAACGCATTATTAAGGATCTAAAACCTATCCTGAAGGATGACCAAACACTCTCACAAATCTTGGGAGACAGGCCAGTCCTTGCCTACAGACAGCCTCCCAACCTGAAGCAAATACTCACCAGCAACCACATACCACACAACAGAACCACTAACCCAGGAACCTATTCTTGCAACAAAGCTGGTTGCCAACTGTGCCCACATATCTATTCAGGGGACACCACCACAGGGCCTAATAACATCAGCCACACTATCAGAGCCTCGTTCACCTGCACATCCACCAATGTGATATATGCCATCATGTGCCAGCAATGCCCCTCTGCCATGTACATTGGTCAAACTGGACAGTCTCTACGTAAAAGAATAAATGGACACAAATCAGATGTCAAGAATTATAACATTCATAAACCAGTCGGAGAACACTTCAATCTCTCTCGTCACACGATTACAGACATGAGAGTTGCTATATTACAAAACAAAAAAACTTCAAATCCAGACTCCAGCGAGAAACTGTTGAATTGGAATTCATTTGCAAATTGGATACAATTAACTTAGGCTTGAATAGAGACTGGGAATGGCTAAGTCATTATGCAAGGTAACCTATTTCCCCTTGTTTTTTCCTACCCCCCCCCCCCCACATTCTTGTTAAACTCTGGATTTGTGCTGGAAATGGCCCACCTTGATTATCATACACATTTTAAGGAGAGTGGTCACTTTAGATAAGCTATTACCAGCAGGAGAGTGGGGTGGGAGGAGGTATTTTTTCATGCTTTGTGTGTATATAAAAAGATCTTCTACACTTTCCAAGGTATGCATCCGATGAAGTGAGCTGTAGCTCACGAAAGCTTATGCTCAAATAAATTGGTTAGTCTCCAACCTGCAAAGAGTTGCTCATAGCCTTCTGAAAACTGCATTTTTGGCCTGACATTTTCCATGTTTCATGTCAGCCAGAGATTAATTATTTCTGGGAAGTCTGAACAAAATCAGTTTAGACAGAGTTTTTTTTAATATGGGAAGATTTTAAAAAATACTATTTTTTAATTAAACCTTTAACACATGTTACTCACATAACTCAAAAACAATTGAATTTCACAAACTGAAATTTTTCAGGAAGGCTACTCTTCATGAGAAACAGGTCTTTGCATTGTTTACTAAAAACTAAAATACAGTTAATATATAAACATTTCAAAGAAAAATTCATGAGTGCACATTAGAAATTTTGATAACTTTGGCAGACTCAATATTGTAGCTCTAGTTAACATCAGAGGGTGAGATGTTCAACAGGACTTGTGCTCCTAAGACAATTGGGTGCTTTTGAAAATCCCAACCATAGTTAATACTGACATTTCTACAAAATCTGCATTGAGAGAACATTTTAACCAGAAAAAATGTAAATGATAATTATGAATCATTTCAGAATACCTTATCAGATGCTCTAAAAGCCACAATCCCAAAAATGAGGAAGAAGGGTATGCTGGGTAAAAACTGACCTGGTTTAGAGGAGAAGGGAAATCAGCTATAAAGAATTGGAAAATAATATATAACAAATGGAAGAAAGGGAAAGTTGATAGTAACAAATATAAATCAGAAGTTAGGAATTGTAGAAAATTGATAAGAGAAGCAAAGGGACACAATGAAAAATCTATGGCCAGCAGAGCTAAGGACAATAAGAAGGAGCTTTTAAAAAAAATATTAGGAACAAAAGGAATCCTGGCAATGGTATTGCTTCATTACGATGTGGAAATGGTAGAATTATCAATAAGAATACAGAAAAGGCAGAAGTGTTCAATAAATATTTCTGTTCTGTATTTGGGGAAAAACATATTCCATATATACTTGTACATAAGCCTAATGTTTTTAGTAAAAAAGGGAAGCATCAGAGAAGGGGGCCGGCTTATGAACAGTTATAGAGAGTGAGAGGTGGGACACAGCCCCTCCCCCCAACAGAGGGAGCAAGGAGAGGCAGCACAGCCAGCAGAGCCAGAAGGGAAGAGGCAGGGCCAGACTCTCTCCTCTTCTGGCCTGCTCTCCCTCCCCAGCCTCCAAAGCAGCTGCAGCTCCAGGGCTGGCAGGCTGCAGCCGC